CATGTTTAGCTTTGTTAGCCAGCGAATTCAGATTCCGCCACCGGTAATCCTGACTTAGTCTTTTTTACTCTAGGCCAAGGCGTGTGCGGACGGACAAAGTGCTGTAGATACTGTGCAGATTTCCTGTCGCTATAAACCAATGCATACGCAAGTCACTGTTCCTTCATCCACCTTGATTTGAGGTGTCTGGCGGATACTATCGTTTGAGAAGTCGAGTTGTTGAATAATCGTTTATACACTACCATGGTGGGCACAATTTGTATAAAAATATTTGACAGAGGCAAGCAGGTTATTGCGCTTGCATCCCTTTTGCGTCACATTACGTGTTCTTAATCTGTCCAAAAAATACACTTAGGTAAGCTGTCCTTTTTTGAGTGCATCCAGAGCGTGTTACTAGCTTTATGAAATTTCGGCACTTGCTTCATGAAGGACCACCAGGTGCTTGATTATTTTTCAACAAAAATAGATGTTGCCTTGCAATAGGTAGTGACTTGGAGGCGACAAAAACGGTCTCGTTGGGGGGGGGAGGAGGGGGTGTTGGACGAATAGTGCGCAATGGGCTTGTGCGGTAGAGATGAAGGAAGGAGGTCGGTGTGCAATTCTCAGTAATTTTGAACGGGTTGAATGGAAGACACGGCTTGAGGGGGAATATTCAAGAAACTAAGATGGTTAGGCGCGTTTCGGAGCGGGAAGGAAAAGTGAAGGAAGGTTGGACATCTGAGGTCTGACATGGGGAAGAAATGTGAATGTTTACTGTCTAAAGGGACAGGGCAAAGTCGCACGAGGTTAAATTAGTATATTCCTTGTTTTTGCGATTGGATTAACACGTCTTAAAATAATTCAGTGTGACAAAGGAAGGCACAAACTCACTACTCTTCTACCATCAATGCGTATGCTAGCCTCCCCCCCGCCCTGCGTCTACTACAGCATAGCTGAAATCCAGGTCGTGGCTTTAGGGAGAAGGTGGCGTTAGGCACATGTAGGTTTCTCTCCCCGCCCCGAAAAACCAATATGAAATGGCTTTTAATAATTTCTCCGTAACCGCCATTTTAGCAAAACGAGAGACCTCGCACACTGTTGAGGACCAACTTACGAATTGAAAAGAGACCAAAGAAATGCTATCGCGAATTGTTTGTGCTAGCAAGTCCTGTTCTGTGTCTGCTTTAAATGTGTACTGGAATATAAACCTTTCGTTTCCATTTCCTACCCATTAGATCAATGAATCAAGAACGCCAGTTTTTAGAACTAGAAGACAACAAGAGGAACGTTGATTGGAGAACTATCGTCAATCCGGGTAGCAGAGCTGCGGGAGACACTTCAAGATCAAAATACATGCCGAAG